TAGAGTTTAGGGTTTAGGGGTTAGGGTTTAGGGGTTAGGGGTTAGGGTTTAGGGTTTAGGGTTTCGGGGTTAGGGTTTAGGTTTAGGGTTTAGGGGTTAGGGTTTAGGGTTTGGGGGTTCGGGTTTAGGGCTTAATAGTAAGATCCTCTTGAGCCCAATAAAGGTGCATAGTTATAAACGATCCCAGAGACCTACCTACTCTGGGATGGATTCCCAAGAAAGGTTAGTAGTTATAAACTATCCCAGAGACCTACCTAGTTTCGGATGGATTACGTTTGGGCCTCCAGGTCTTGAGCAAATTGTCGCAAAGTGATCCGTCCTTCGAAACTATACTGGGCTTTGAAGTAACCAGGGAGAAAACAGTATAGACTCTTATTTCATACTGGCTACTTTAAGGAACAGGTCCCGAAAGCATTAAAGTATGGTACTCCAAAGCCCAGTATACCAATACAGCTGAGTTTAGGGTTTGTCTTCTCGGGCTTGCGGGGTGTTTTGGTCCCATACTCAGCCGTGATCGCGACACAGGACAAAACTGCATGAACCCCCAACTGCAAGATCGAAATCCCAAAACCGGGATAGAGCGATGTCAACGGTAGTTACCCCCTGATGCCCACATTCCCAAGAAGCTTTCAACAATCTCTCGTACATCCTACTTATAGTCTCCATTGTAGTTCCTCTCTTTGGTTTAAATAGCCATTCCTGTATTTAGGATCCGAACAGGTAGCCAAAAAGAGACTGCAGATACCCAGCACCCCAACCTTAAGTCGGTCCCTAAACCCTAAACCCTAAACCCTGAACCCCCAAACCACAGCAACATCAAAGGCATCGGCAGAGGTTCACGAGGATTCACCTCCCCAATAGCTCTTGACAAGCCAGGGTATGTATAGGGTTTAGGGTTTAGGTTCACTGTCTAGAAAGTGCCTGTATACCTTGGCCCATCATGCCGGAACCTAGAAGTACGTGTGCCTGGTGTGCCAAAGAACGCAACCTTCGCCCCGACCCCTCAATGAAGGTAGGTCTTCCTGAGCAATAACAGTGGAAGCTGCACAAATCTCGAAAGCTCCAACAGATTGATATTCCGTCTTTGAGCTTGGGTAAGACTTCGGGCTACGGTTTAGGGCAGGACCAGGTGTCATAACAAGTAAGAGTCAAAGTGCTGAGCTGGGGTACTTGTAACATCAAGCACAACCTACTTGCTTGCTAAGTAGTCCGGCACTTTTTACTAGACCGACTACCCTCCTAAACCCCTCTAGAACCCTTGGCATATTGTTATACAACTTACGTTGAGGTGGCACATTATACCACCCTAGGGGTCCAAGGGACCTGATAGTTAGGTACTTGGGTCGGTTGATGATAAAAATCCTGCATTACCCATAATCGGGAGTATACCATAATTCCCATAGTTCGGGGGCCTTAAGGTAATGCAGGATCTATATCATCAACACTATGTTTGTAGGTTGGTATTTGGGGGAGTATGTGATGACTAGATACTTGAACTTGGAGCCTTAGAATAACGTACTCTACTTCTGCCAGGAATATAAGGAAACATGCTCGGTATGCCGACCAATACAGCGCCTACATAGTAGACCTTTTGAGTATGTGGGACCTAAAGCCCTAGCAGTTAGGCTCTTGGGCCAGCTGTTTGAATAAGATACTACCCCAAACCCTAAACCCTAAACCCTAAACACTCAGTTATTCCTAACCTCTGAACGTTATGAACCCAGGCCCGGCTGACCCTCGCCCGTAGAGGGGTCCAGCTGCCCCGTCAGCATATCTTCGGGTTTAGGGTTTAGGGTTTAGGGTTTAGGGTTTAGGGCTTAGGGCTTAGGTCAAGGGGTTTAGGGCTTTGGGGGTTTAGGGGTTTTCGGACTAAGGGGTTCAGGGTTTAGGGTTTAGGGGTTTTGGGGTTTAGGGTTTAGGGGTTTAGGGGTTCAGGGTTCAGAGTGGGTTTTCGGTCCCAGATGAATCAACAGCACAAGTTTAAGGGCTTATGTGGTTGAACCTTGGCTTTGGCGTAAGGGTTTAGGAATATCTTACCTAGAGAGCTGAAGTATACGACAAGGAGGAGGTTTTGCGGTTCCGACAGGTGTAAGGCCTGGGGCTTAGGAATGACTTAAGCTTAGAAACCCCAAACCCCAACCCTAAACCTCAAACCCTAAACCCTATACCACTTAGAAGATTCAAAAACCGAGGAGTATGGTTTCGGGTTTCGGCGGGAAAAGAAAGGATTCCTGTAGCTCAGGGTTCCCAGAGACTCCAAAAACCCCGTCGGGTTTGGGGCTTAGGGTTTTAAGGGTTTTTAGGGGTTGAAAATTGAAGCCTTTGATGGTAAGCTCTACTACTACACTATAGACCCGAAACCCTGACACCCTAGACCAACTCATCCCTTCAGCCTCCCCTAAACCCTTTAGCTCTAATCCCCCTCAACGCTAACCCCTAAAGCCTATTTCCAGCTGCTGGGCCTGTAGGGGTTTTGAGGTGTTGGGTTGATGCCTTCGGGCTTAGGGTTTAGGGTTTAGGGTTTATAGGGTTGCATTGAGGTTTAGAACTTCGGGCTTAGCGTCTAAGGAAGTAGTCCCAGAAAGCGTCATCAGAACGAGCAGCATCGGCTCCGGACAGCAAGCGGTTTATTTAGGGTTCCTAAACCCCAAACCCATGGGCCATATCCAGGTGCAGTTTAGACTCACAGACCGCAAGTACAGCCAGGAAGTCTTCCCATAACCATGAAGCACTATTATATGTGTTTCTTTGGAAGTCTTGTTGGGTTTTAAGGCAAAGTGCCAGTGCAATATGAACATATTAACCCCTAACCTTCCAGGTACCTACTATATAGGGCTCCAGGGGCTCTAGTACCCTGTATAGTAGGTACCTGGAGGGTTCGGGAACCCTAGGGAATAGCAGGTGTTCCAAGTTCAGGTCCGAATACTAAACCCTAAACCCTAAACCCTAAACAACTTACACATCTCAGTCTCCACGGCCTCCTGTATCGCAATGGCCAGTGCTGGCAGTGACTTGGTATCTGACTCGATACGTCGTCCTGTCGCGAAGAATCGGCTGTGAATCAGTGGGGCCCTTTCCCGGAGACGGTTGATAGTAGAAGCTATTATTGGGCTTTCAACATCGCTGCTCGCCCTGAAATGAATCTACACGATCGTCGCCATCATCGCCATCATGATCATCTTCACCATCACCGCTATCATCCCCACCGCAACCACAACCACCACCACCACCACCACCACCACCACCACCACCACCACCACCACCACCACCACCACCACCACTACAATCGTCATCCCGTAAAACCATCATCACCATCATCATGATCAAGACCATGCCTGTCACGTCTTTTCTCTTGTGAGCACCAGCAGCGAACACTCGAATTTACAACCGTAATCACCGTCACCATCAGTCGCAGCACCACGACATGGTCATCTTGAGAATCACAATCATCGCCGGCAACGTCCCCACGACTCGCAAACTTCAGATGAGTTCACCAATGAAGGCATCATGGTTATCAACAGCAGTGTCATCGCTGCCGATGTAATAGCAGTACAAATAAGGTGACTGAATCTTATTCACCGACATATGTCTTGCAGAGCGAACACCCTAATCACCAGCAGTATCTTCGTAATCTTCATAATGAGCATCACCATCATCATCACGTTCGTCACGTTTGCATGTTCATCGTCATGGCGGTCCTTCCCATCCTCCTGCACGAGCTTCGTATCATCGGCAGCACGCAGACTGATACTGCCAACAGCAGCATCACCATCGTCGTCGTCACCGTACCTTCACCATTGCATGTGTAAATATGACGACAATCAGACCTGACCACATCAGCCAGGGTATGATCACCAGCATCTTTTCGCCGCAGGAATAAGCCCTAAGCCCTGTAACCTAAGTAGACGTCGTACGATATCCCATAGTATAGCTGAACCACCCGTCATCGCCGATTGATCAATGATTGACAATTATAGTTGCCTGTTAGCAGACACTACGCTTGATCCATCTACTAGTGCAACTGAACCCCTGTCAGCGTCATAGGTTTCATCAGAGGAGAGCGGCTTGAACTGGTAGTTACTGTCGCAGAAATGAACAACTCCTACGACAAACCCAACAACTTCAATCACCTGGGAGATACTGGGCCCGAGAGAACCAGCCAGTGTTAAGAACATGTAATACTATGTTAAATACCCTACCCTGAAAAAGACGCCTATCTAACAAAAGCGCCTAACCGTGGAAGCTCCCCTAAATCCAAAACCCGAAACCCTGCTCCTCGGGCTCGGCTGAGGAGCTGCATGGCCCAGGGCCAGGAAGTCGACTGGGCTAGGACCTGGCAAGGGTTCAGGGTCTAGGTTACCTTCATAGTTCTATAAATATAATAAGGAACCCCCGGATAACCCTATTCTAATTGTTAAGGCCCCTATATTAGGTATGTTGTGCCAAAGGCTGTGTTGAGTGCAAGGAACTATGGCGATGAGCTGTGAAAGCCTGTCTATACAAGGCTCTTCCTCTCCCACCCCACGCCGTATACGGCTGCCTCTTTTAGGGCTTGGCCTTTAAACTTCAAACTCACGTGCGTATCGCGTGTAGAAGGCAATCGCCTTTCAGAAAAGGGGAAGGCAAAAACGGCAGGACAGCCAGTCTGGGCAGGGCAGGGCCGCGCAGGCAGGGCAGGGCACAGGGCACAGGGCACATGGAACAGGGCAGGGCCAGGGTAGTCGAGTGGCTTAGGACCTGGCCAGATAGAACTTCATTTAGCAAGTCATTTAGGGTTCAGGGCTTCATCTGAGACTTGGGCAGTAGGACCCTAGACCCTAAACCCTAAACCCTAAACCCTAAACCCTAAACCCTAAACCCTAAGAGGGTTTAAGGATAAGTAGGAAGTTCTTAAAAGGTTGGGCTCCAGACAGGTTCTAAGGTCCTGATAGGTGTTGGACCTGTACTGTACTTAGGGATTTAGCCACCAACTGTCTTGTGGGTTTAGGGTTTAGGGTTTAGGGTTTAGGGTTTAGGGTTTAGGGTTTAGGGCTTTCTGAGGATTTGTTTTGCACGGTTTCATAAGTCCGGAGGGTTGGTGTTCCAAGCTTTTTAGAATGTTGTAAGGAGGAGGACGTACGTTCAAGACTCTGGTACCTTACCCCAGAGGGTCCATATATACTGCTGTTATGGAACTAGGTCCCCAAGACCAAAAATGAGGATGGTCTTTTGAGACCTGTTTCCAGAATGGTAGTACATGTGGACCCTCTGGGTACCATGTTCAAGGGCATTCGGCACCCCGCTTCTTCTAAAGCTAGCAGGTCGCTTCAATGTGGAGGTTGCGGTAGCTCGGTTTCGGGTATTCGGGCTCACAGTTTGGGGAGGGTTTAGGGATGTTACGCACAAAAACAAGACTAGAACGCTCTGAAGGAACCCTTAAACCCTAAACCCTTAAACCCTAAACCTTAAACTCTAAACCCTAGACCTTAAACCCTAAGCCCTTAAACCCTAAACCCTTAAACCCTTAAGCCCTAAACCCGAAACCCGAAACCTTAAACCCTAAGCCCTTAAACCCTAAACCCGAAACCCTTACAGGAAACCCAGACCTGCTTGTTGAGGCCCCTCTGTTGCGAAGCCCTATTGGGGTTTAGGGTTTAGGGTTTAGGGTTTAGGCCCTATTACCGAACTCTTCACCCCACCCCTAAACCGACCCTTTATGACGGTTTAGGGTTTAGGGTTTAGGGGTTCGGGGTTTAAGGTTTAGGTGCAGGGACCTGATAGTTAGGTACTTGGGTTTAGGTTAGTACGGTTGATGATATAAACCCTGCATTGCCCCATAATAAGGAATATATCATAGTTCCCATAGTTTAGGGTCCTTATAAAGGTCATGCAGGATTTGTATCACGAATAGTATGGCCCAAATACCCGCAGCAATTGAGTAAGGAACATGAGGGCATTCTCACAGGGGATCCTCGCACACCCTAAACCCCGAAACCTTACGACGAGGGTCCACGAACTCATAGTCATACAGTAGTGAATAAAGAGGTACTTTAAGGCCAAAGTCTATGGATAGTTCTCCAAACCCTAAACCCTAAACCCTACACCCTAAACCCTAAACGCCCCTTTCAGGCTCGTATTTATAAGGGTGCCATCCTTAAAAAAGGGGCCCTGTAGAGTCTTTAGAGAACTACCCATAGTCTGTACGCACATGGACCTTTAGGGTTCTAAGCTCGCTACAGTACTTTAGGGTCTAGGGTTTAGGGTTTAGGGTTTAGGGTTTAGTAGTCCCGGAAAGGCCTGGACAGCCACATTGACCTCCTGGTTGGAGGTGTCTCTGTGTCGCAGGATGCGCATAGCTGGCCTCTTGGGTTTAGGGCTTTACGGGTTTAGGGGTGAAGGGGTTGGAGTTTAGGCTTTAGGGTCTATGGGATTTAGGGCATCATTGGATCGTGGGACTTTGTAACTGGTCTTGCAGACACATCGGAAAAGCCTTTCCGGGCCTATCCTGACAACACACATCACACAGAGCCAATTGAAACCTTCTGAACGCAAGAGAAACAAACTAAGCCAGAAGAAGAAGCTGCTTTCCTAACGAAAACTATGTCCAATAAATCCCCCCTGGACCCTAAACCCTAAAGCCACCTTCGAGCCTATTCTAGGGAACATCCTAAACCCACGATCCCAACACGCCAAAATCCCTAAACCTCAAAGTAGGAGCACCCCAAATCGCAAACTGCTATAGATCCCTAAAAGGATCCCTAAACCCTAAACCCTAAACCCTAAGCCCTAAACCCTAAAAAAACCCTTAAGGAACTCTTAGAGAGGCCATTCAAGGGGCCCTTAAACGAACCCTCAACCCGGCCCATAGGTCCCTTAAAGGAGCCCTTAAAGGAGCCCTGAAAGGAACCCCTAACGCCAACCCTATAGATCCCTTAAGAAAGCCGGTAAAGAAGACCTTAAGGGAACACACAGATCTGAAAGGACCCCCTCAAGAAAGCCCAGTAGATCCCATAACACACCCCATGATTAAAAGAACCCTGTAAATCCCCTAAAAGGAGCCATAAACCCAGGCCCTTAAAAGGGAGCCCTCAAATGAGCCCGAAAGATCTCTCTAAAGGACCCCCATAAATCCGTTGAAGGAGCCCTTCGAGGAGGAGAGTAGACCCTTAACCTTAACCCGTAAAGGATCCTTAAAGTGACCCCTTAAACTTATAAACATAATTCCTCAATAAGCCAGAGAAATACAAGGTTAAACTTTCAGATTACTACAAAGTAAAAAAGAACCCAACAAGCTTGAAGGTTGGGTTTTGGAGAACTAAGTAATTGGACCCTATAGAAGCTCTTCAAGGAACTTCAAGACACCCTCGACGGGGTGCCTTATTGGGATCCCCTAAAGGACCCTAAACCCTAAACCCTAAACCCTAAACCCTAAACCCTAAACCCTAAACCCTAAACCCTTAAAGCATCCCTAAAACCTAAAACCTAAACCTTCAACCCTAAACTCTAAAAACCCAACCTTGACCCCCATACCCCTAAACCCTAAACCCCTAAACCTCAAACCCTAAACCCGGAAAAATAAACCTCGAACCCTAAATCCCTAAATCCCTAAAGCACCCCTTAAAGGATCCTAAACCCCTAAATCCTTGTAGCATCCCTTCAAAGGATCCCTTGACAGGAGCCTCCAGCTCGAAGAGGCTTCGCAAGCTGCAATCGACCCCTTGAGGCTGATGCGGTCCTGGGGCTCAGATCTTGAGGGTTTAGGGTCTAGGGGTTTACCTTAACCCACCAGAACCTACTTTTTTGTAGGGTCCCTATAAATCCCATATTAGGCTTTATAATAATAACCTACAAAAAAGTGGGTTTTGGTAGGTTGAGGTAGGGTTTATGGATTTCAGAGTTTAGGGTTATGGGTTTAGGGTTTAGGGATTTCAGAGTTTAGGGTTTTGGGTTTAGGGTTTAGGGATTTCAGGGTTTAGGGTCTAGGGGCTTAGGGTTTAGGGATTTCAGGGTTTAGGGTTATGGGTTTAGGGTTTTTAGGGTTTAAGGTTTAGGGCTTTTTTGTGCTTGACCGGGCCCTCTTTCCAGCTGCACACCAGGAAGTCAAAGGGTCTGGGGTTTAGGGTCTAGGGTTTAGGGATTTCAGGGTTTAGAGTTTAGGGTTTAGGGATTCAAAGTACCCTGTAAGGACTGCTGCTTTAAGGGCCCTTCGAAGGGATTTATAGGGCTCTGATCTTCAAGCTTAAGGCTTAGGGTTTAAGCTTTAAGGTGTAAGCTTTAGGGTTTAGGGTTCAGGGATTAGGGCTTTTAGGGAATTTTAGGGTTTAAGGTGTAGGGTTTAAGGTTCAGGGTTTTAGAGTTTGGAGCTTAGAGTTTAAGGTGTCGATCGCCAGGGTTCCTTTAAGATCGCCTTGTTTTGAGTTCCTGTACACCCTAAACCCTAAACCCCATGTGTTAGGAGTTTGGGGCTTAGGGCTTAGGGTGCTCCTGCCTTACGGGTTAGGGCCTAAGCTTCAGAGTCTTAGGGTTTAGGGCTTTAGGGTTTAAGGTTCAGGCCTCATAGAAGTTGATGGCTTGATCTTCAGGGTTAGCTTAGGGCTTATAGGGTGTAGGGATTACAAGGATTACCAAGGTCTAGGGATCGAAGGTTTAGAGCGATAGTAGGGTTTAGGGGTATAAACAGCATGCTTATGGAAAGCCTTGGTGCTGGTTCCCGGTTTAGGGTTTAGGGTTTAGGGTTTTCATGTTCTCCTCACTCAACCCTAAACCGTAAAGTCGTGAACCAAGACATGAAAACACCCACTACTTCATTCACCAAGGTTCAGCACGAACAAAGCTAGAAGGCACGCACATGAATCTATGGGGAGCAGCATTTCTATTATTCCCTAAGCCCTAAGGCTCAAAAGAGCCCAAAAACCTTACGTAGTAACGTAGTATAGTCGTTGGGCCCAAAAGCCTTAAAATAAAAGTTCCTAGATCCTCTGGGATTCATGCCCCTGAAGGGATTCAAACACCAAAAATGCGCAACACACACTTTTATACATGAGCATATATATATATATATGCATATAACCAGCCGCTGACAAGCAGATTCAGTCGCCCACCATGTCAAACTGGTAGCCGCCGAAGCCCAACTCCAGGGTTTAGGGTTTAGGGTTTACCCATGAACCTTACAAGCCCTAATGTAGGGACATTAAGAAATCGAATAGGGTATTGGGGTATATTATACTATGCTTGTAGTAAGGAGCCCCCAAAACCCTATTCTGATTACTAAAGCCCCTACATTAATGTCGCGGCTGCGTAACGCCTATGGATCAGATGTACATGTGCCTGGCAAGCTGGCTCCTCTCCGCCTTTGCTCTAAGACCCCTAGGGCTAGCTTTACCCTATTATAGGACCATTCCGATGATCCCACATCAACTTATAAGCTCACAGCTCTATGTGCAGGCCCCGGCACCAACTTGCACGAAGACCAAAGCATGGTGTCTAGCTCCTGCCTGAGCTTGCGGTCAAGGGCTTATCATGCCCGGGCGTGCTTCGAAATAATATGATAATGTGCTTGTGGCTCACGGTGTAGCGTTCAATATCAAAGAGGAAACCTTATAACCCTAAGCCCCACCTGAACACTACGTTACCTGCCTTTCTAGGGGGTTCCTTATCATGACGTCATCGTATGTGTCCTGGAAACGGTAGGATGTTTGGGCTCAAGGTCAACCCTAGACCCTCACAGAATGAATTGCAGATCAACAGGATGCCGGCGGCACGCTCATCTTCGCAATGAAAGCTGAAAAAAGGCCCTTAGAACCCTAAACCCTCATAACTCAGAGCCCTAAGCCCTAAACAGCCTGATAACCCTAAGCCCTAAATAGTAATGAACTGCTTCATGAGCGCCTCGTCTACCTCGACACACTACACCAGTCGGCTCATCACCTCCATCAGCAGTGGCTTCCTGGACTTCGGGTCTTGTCTCAGCCAGCCAGCCTGGCTTAACGAGTCCGAGCTGCACATTGCGTGTGCATATTCGTAGCCTGCGGCAAGTCTGAGATCAGAGCCTCTCCCGGCTTGCTTTGGAGGACTTGTGACTGCAGAACCCCCTTGAGCACTGTCCCGCAAAGAAGAAAGCTCGCTAAACCGTAAACCCTAAACACTAAACCCCTAAACCCTAAACCCTAAACCCCAAAACCGTGGCCCTGAGTTGGCCTTGCCCATGGAGCTGTTTCACTTCGGCTAGCCAGGCCGGAACTCCGGCTTTGTGTGTGACCATAGGGCCAAGCCCTAGGCGCAGTCACACGTCGACAGGGTTGTTTAGGGGTTTAGGGTTTGGGATTTAGGGTTTAGGATGTAGTGCATCATCGCCGTACACTAGTCCCTTTCCTAAGAACTCTAGTAACCGATGCCCACCGCCAAAACCCCATTCCAACACTATTATAATTGCTCATGGCCCCCGGCACCATATCAGTTACCAACTTTTGAGCAGAGCTTTCTCAAGCCCAACAGTGCGGGGTTTAGGGTTTGTGTGTTTCAGGTTTTGGGGTCTTTGCTGTAGGACCTAGGTTTGGGCGGGAACAACGATGTTCCATGCCTCATGGCGACCTCCTTCGGCGCTCTCAGTATGGACTGCCTAAGTGACTCCTGGAAATTTGATCCTCTCGAAACACACATGGGTAGTTGTCAAAATTATGGTCCCATTTGGGGTATCCTAAATAATAGGTGCCGTACTATAATAAAGACCCAAGAAGGGACCATAATTTTGACAACCACCCACATCAACACCGGAGGGCAAGCTCAAAGCCTGCACCTGAACATCACTCGAGCACTGCCAACAAACTCTAGTAAGCTCCTATGAAGTTTCAAGGTTCAGGTTTTTAGGTCTATAGGGTTTAGACCTTATAATGGCGAGTGATTAGGGCTCAGGGGACAGGGATGGTTACGGCTGTAAGACTAGTTTAAGATGAACTGGCTTTAGGTTTAGAATGCCGGGTTCAGGGTTTTAGGGCTTAGGTTTAGGTTTAGGGCTTACATAAGGTGTCGGCTTGGGGTTAAGAGTTTAGGGCCTGGAAAGTTTAGGGATTGGCTTTTGGGCTGTAACAAACGATCAGGGGATTTAAGGTAGGGGCCTTCATAAATTAGAATAGGGCTTTGGGGCATATTATGCTATAATTAGAATACGGAATCCCCAACATAATATAGGTAGTTATCAAGGCCTCTATATCAAGATGATGCCTGCTCCTCCAAGTAAACTCTACACTCAACTGAAGCAAAAGCGTGTCAACACCAAGACTACCCTTACTCGCAATTTAATAAAGTCAATTTGGTAACCTGTTTTAGAGCACTCCGTGGAGCCCTTATGCTTTGTGGCCGTATAGTAGTCCGTGCCCCAAACTTTGCTCTTCCGAAGTGCGCCGCGCATCGCCAAGCAGACACATCGGCAAACAGGCCAACAACGGCATTGTGGTACTCCACCTCGGAGCGAAAAAAGGCGCAAGTCTTATACGGCGCCATGTAGGGTTTGGGGTTGGCCCACCCACGCGTGGAACGCCGAAGCCCGCTAACCTCTAGACATCAAACACTGCCTTGACCAAACACTGCTGCGTAGGGAAGGGGCGCCCTGATGTGTAACAAACAAGGAGCCTATTGCCTATGGAGAAGGCAGCAGCGCCAATGTTTACGGACATACAGTTTGGGATGTTCTACATCTCGATTCATCAACCCTCTAATGCCATATGCCAAACCCGAATAGTTTCGGGGTATAAACCCTAAACCCTAAACCCCTAAACCACTCTAAAGCCAAGACCTCGGACCAACGAGCTGAATATCCTAGGCTAAGCTGTGGAATTATGGACACTCTTCGTAGCGCTTGTATTCATAGTGCCATAAAGATGAAGGTTTCTTGACGCGCCACAGGTTTGGGTCTAAGTACCTATCGATCATATACTCTCCCAAAGACGTTCCCTACACAACTACTATCCGAAAACCCACACATACCTTATTACAGGGTCCTTCCCCTTAGCATCAAGACAGCCCAAAGGCCTTATATAATAGGGTCTTTGGGCCCAAAAGCCTTAAAATATGAGTCCTTTGAGGGTAAGGGTTCGGACTTTTTTAGGTCTGGCATAACACAAAGGTTGAAGGCTTCCTACACATCCCCTGTCAATCCCTAAGGGTCCAAGTGCCCAAATAGTAGGGTTTCAAGGCCCAAAAGCCATTCAGAGTATGGATTTTGGGACCTAAAACCTTACTATTTGGGTACTCGGACCCTCTGTCAATAAGAAGGTTGTAGGTTTAGGGTTGAGGTATTCAGGGGAGAGGGTTCGGTTTGGGGTTCCCTAGACCCTAATCTAAACCCTATAAACCCTAAACCCTAATCCTAACCC